AGCACTCGCAGTTTATTGAATACTATCAGCTGCAATGTCTTGCGGTATGTGTGGTCTAATTCATTCTTAGGAAACTGAATGAATGATGTGGCCATGTGGGTGGAGCCCCACACAGCTGCAGTCTTTAAATTTTGACAGCAGATGTGGATCCCCCACCCACTGTAACAAAGCAGGGAGTGCCGGCAGCAGGAGGTGGCTGCATAGGAGCATGTTACATCCTACATATAGATGTAACATTTACGTGCTCCTAAAAGGTGGATTTAGCCTTTAGTACGGCTTTACTGAGCCATGGGTGCTTGGAGAATCCTTGCTCACACTGCCAGGTGTGATGGATTCCTGATCCCACACCAAACACAGTGGTTTCATCCGCTGGCTCTTGGTCACTAGTGTGTTCTGCATTGTCATAGGGGCCAGTGAAAACCACAGCACGTGGTAAAGAGGAGGAGATTAGGAATTTAACATCCACAGCACAGGATTCTCAGGGTACTTTAGGTTTAAAAAGACAAAAAATACAAGGGATAGTCTTTGCAAGACATCAGTTTTCTTCCCCCAATCTTAAATTTCATGACAAACACTTGCAGAAATTAAAAAGTATGCAATCCCCACTGACCTTTACTGCTTTTGAACATATGCAGTAAGTTTCCATGTTCTCTTGTCCAAAAGCTTCAGCTCTACGATCTACAGCTGCCTTGAGGAAGGCAACTTCTAACATCCTTCAGCTTATGTCTCTATGCGAGTGGGAACATGGAAACTCTTTAGAAGTTGTGTCAATGGTCCCAGTAGGGTCCAAAATCACTTACCAAGTTCATTGAAGTAAATTATGTTTTTATTTTGCTGGTACCTCGAGTGGCTGGGTTCAAGTAGGGTGTCTTGAATCTCTGTTTTAGGGGCTGCAGACTAGCAAGTACATTAGCTCATATGGTGGGAGTGTCCCATAATTAATCATTTCTGGATTACAGTCTATCACTTAATATATACTGTATTGGGCTATAGTAACCCTGTGAGTCCATACAAAGCCCAACTCAACCTCAAACTAACAGGATGTGCTGTTAACTCTAAACTTTAGAGTTACATCCTTAAATTTCATGACAGCCAAACAAATCCTGGGCAAAGCCTGGTGCTCCAGCAATCCAAACAGTCTTACAAGGGGGAAAAAAATTGAGTGGAAAACTTGTGGCTGCACTTGAGAAGGCTCAGCCTTTAGAAAGGTTTTGGTCCTCTTGTGTTACTCACCATTTCCCTGCAGACTTTGATAATTCTTTACAGACCATCCAACTAGTTTGGAAGGATATGGTTATGAGAGTGATGGTGCCGAAACAGGTCTTGCTTCTCATCTTCCCCCTCCTTATTGCCTTTTTAGGAATCATCTCTCTTCGCTTATGCCCAGTAATTAGGCTTGATTGTACACAGAGGTTTAGATGAAGGATTCTAGCGTCTGATCTCAAGTTTAGCTGTACTGCATTAGTTGTGGCCTAGGGATGGATCTTCTTTATATTTTGCACTGAGCTTTATACCTTTGATTTAGTGTGCTTACATGTATTACTGTTGGAAATCTTTAATAAAAAATACTTAAAAAAAAAAACAAAAAAAAAAACAGCAGGTCAGTTCTCATCTGCACACTTCTAATTCAGGGTTAGCAAAACAGCCAGAAAACTAGGACAATTCTTAAAAGGGCAGCCTCCAAGTTTTTCCCTTGTGACAGGATTCTTTTGCAGTGCTTCTAAAGTCAAAATATTTTTCACCTTACCATGTGTTCTGCATTGAAAAAGGGAAACACAAAAAACTCCCAGCTACCCATCCTACCAACCCCCATCCCTAAAACACTTCCATGACTGCTCCAGCATCACTCCTCTCACATCTGGGTCTCACAGGAGACACTGACAGCTGTCAAACTCCTGTGAGGAGAGAGAGCAGGGCATGGTTTACCAGTGCTGTGTGTCTCTTTGGACACACTTCACAGATCGTAAGTGCGCACACACGGATGCCTCCACAGCACCTGACTTCTAAGGAGGAGTGGACAGCGCCAGTGGGGGACTGCCAGAGAGGAGGCAAGGGACCACTCTGTGCAATAATCGCTACACAGAGCAGGTAAGTAGAATATTGATTTTAGATTTTCAACCTTTAATAGCACTTTAAGAGCAGAAAAAAAAACAAAAAAAAAAACCAAATGTCATGAAATGGTTGGCAATAAGACAAAAACAAGATCTTAATAAAAAAAAGAAAAAAAACTTTATGTACAGACAAGGGGAAAAAGACAAATACATTTCATAAAACAGAACACAGATCCTGAAATTGCCTCTGCAACCAACACAATAGAACATGTGTCAACACTTAAAACAGCATTTATACCCAATATGATTGTCCCACCAAACAGCTTACCTATAAACCCTAGGTAATATTTAAAAGCCAAGGAAGCAATAACCTAAATATTCCTGCGAGGTTGCTGTATCCTCTCGTTTTAGGTGCCACCACCTTTCACACCTTTAATTCCTGTACAAGCTTCCAACACACAAGAACAAAATAAGAAGCACATTCTTGCTAGCGTTTTGGAGCAGGGGTTACCTGCCAGATCCTGCATGCATTTCTTTACTCCCTGACAGCTTGGTATCCAGTGAGTGAGGCGAATTGACATTTGTCTATAATCATTGTACAGCATGCAGAAGATGAGAATTCCAGCCTCTTTGCTAGATTTTTTTCCTTACCAGCACTATAGGACAAGGTCACCACAATTAAACAATGTCACATGAGTCTAGGGTCAGGAGGACTCAAGGCACCACATCCCATGCATGAATCATAGACAAGACAGGAAATGCTCCAAAAAGGAGCTGGGATTTTTTTTTTTTTTTTTTTTTAAAAAAAAAGGAGCTAATGTACCACAATACTAGAAAAAAAAAAAAAATCTATTGATCCATATCAATTAATACTCTGTATATGGAAAATGTTTTCATTTTTATGGCTATACAGACATTTTGATTGGAATATTCACAGCATAATTTGCTGTAGATTCTGATGGTGTAGCGATCTCAACATGTTTCGCCAAAAAAGCTGCTTCAGGAGAAAGACTACCACACCTAAACTGAAAATGTACAATAAAACAGACAATATTAACACAGACACAATATTTTAATAAGATGTACAAGCAATATACAGTAATCCAAAAAGTTTGGTGAAGAGCATCTTGCCAATCAAAAGCAAAAAATATGATTGGCCACAGAAATAAAGACCCTATAACTAAATATTCAAAAGTTAATTAAACTTTAAATGGTCACAAACCATTAGAACAAACAAAATTTCCAAACTTGGGGCTGAAGATGATATTCAAAATTTCAACTGTTTTGTTCTTATTACCTCTTCTGCGCCTTTGGGTTTTGCCAGCATATTAGAATAAATAGTGACTTGGTTTCCAGCTATTTTTTGCTTTCATTGGCAAGATGCCCTTCAAAAACTTTTTGGATTATAATATATTGCTTGTAGATTGTTAAAATATTTTTGTACATTTGTGTATTTACTGTATTGTCTTATTGTACATTTTCAATTTAGGTGTGCTATTCTATATCTCCTGAAGAAGACTTAATAGGCGAAACATGTTAGGATCACTACACCATCAGAATATACAGTAAAATTATGCTATTAATATTCCAATCAAAATGTCTGTATATGGAAAATGTTTATCAATTTTATGGATATACTGAGTATATTTATAATTGATTTGTATAAACATTATGACTTTTTATGGTATATTGTAGTACATTATTGGCACCTTAAAAATACCAGCTCCTTTGGAGCATTTCCCATCTTGCCCACAATTAAACAAGTAAAGGATTCAGGTCTAAAGTGTTAGCAGAATTAGATTTTAAAGGTTGAAACCTATAGAATAAAATGTTTAGTTTGCGTAGGAAGCACATACAAATAGTCCTTAATGGGGAGGAAGACCATTTTAAAAAAAACATATTGATCCTGTTTATTCCAAGCTTTCAATTTTCAGTTTACTTGCATATGTAAAAATAATTCTAAACTTCATAAATGGTTTGCTTGCAGAGGCAAAACCACAAATACAATACAATAAGAAAATTGATCCATACAAAAACAAACATCTATAAAATCAGGTGTTTCACAGTTTTCCATGCTACAGGTCGCTTTAACCACAACAGTCCCAGCAGAAAAACCCGTGCAGGTTCTGCTGGCAAGGATGGACTCTTTGAATGGAGATCAAAAAGGATAGGTGCAGTTTTACAGAAAACTACAGGACTCATCCTTCAAACCAAGGACCCCCCCCCCTTCCTTTTTAGCACAGTAGAAGCCTTACTTCTTTGTAAACAGGTACAATTCTAGCTTTGACTCTGGTACATTCTGCATGGAGGAGAGCCATACATGGATTAAGATAAGGGAGAAGTATTACCATGGAAGCCACAACTCTCCACAAACCATCCTTCGTCTCCATCACTGTACAGAATCACTGAGATGTACAGCTCAAAAGTGTTAAGACTTCTAAAAAAATTAACAGCCAATGCATGTGTTGCACTGGTCCCATACAAGCCAGACAACATGAATTAAGAACTTCTGACAAACTGAGGTAAAGGGTGCCACTATGTTGTAGATGTATTGGGTCCACTTTTAGTCTTTTCTGGTGTTTTCTGTAAAACTGCTGATATCCTTTACAAAAAAGGATGAATTTATGGTTTCCAAAACCCTTTAGGCACTTAAAAGCTCTCAAACTTTGGCCATTTGAAGAAAAAAAAAAAAACATTTCTACACTTAATCTAAGCAGCAGGATCATTTTCCACTCATCATCATCATATATTTACGTGCAATAGTCTGATGTGTAGCCCTTCAGTTCACTGCGCCACTAACAAAGGTGTTCTATAACTGCCACTTTCCTTCTGAAAGTTAAGTTCTCAACAGAAAAGATGGTAGGTGCACCACTTAATGAAGGGAGGCTTGCTTTGAATGGACAGGTATTGCTGTGTGCAGGGGAAATGGAGGCAGGCAGGCTCATCTCTTCAGGAAGGTTTACCAGAATCTGCCAGATCTCTTTGTTCAAAATACCTAGAAAAAGATAAGAGGTATTTCAACACTTTGAAAAAGGGAAGAGGTTTTATAGGTTACAGTGCCAAACCCAGCTATTGCCTTACACACACTACACAAGGAGAGGGAGCAGCAGGGATAGATCTCCATTACAGCATGCCCTCACACGGAGGAGACGTACAGGAGTTGTTTAATGCTGGATTACTGCACATATTTGTTAGCAATACACAAATGACACCAAATCGAAGCAAAATGCACATGACTTTTGTAAATATATATTTTTATTAGATATTTTATTTGGTCTATATTTCTGCTTCAGTTAGCTAAAAGTAAGGCTTTAGCAAAAAAGCAAACAAAATACACACTAAACAAACCATAAGCAAAACACACACCACACAAAACCATAAGCAAACAACAACCACCACCACCGCTTTGGGTGGATGCAGCATCAGTCCGCTGCAGCACCTGTCATTTGCCAGCTCTGCACACAGAACTGAGCAATAAAAACAATGCAATCACTCAGTTCTCCCCCTCCACTCTGAGCATAGAGCCATGACTGTTAGTCACCAGCTCTCTGCCCACCCCTTCAGCGCTCACTGGAATGCTGGGGTGTGGAGGGGCAGGAGCTGCTGGTCCAAGGCTTCTGGGCGGATCCCAACCATATGGTCGGGATCTTTCCACAGCCTGGACTGGCTTTGTGGCATCAGTTGACAGCTGGCTTAAGCCTGCTGTCAGATGATGATGGGTCATAGAAGTGCAGAACTAACTTTGCTAACTAGCTTTGGCTATAATTTCTTTAAATAGCTGTAAAACTCTTTATACCAGTGTTTTTCAGAACAGCCATTGATTCTTAGTTAGTAGCACACTTTTTCTAGTACAGTGACTGGAACTTTGATTGTTGCCACACAAGTATCCAGGTACATGAAGGTGAAGAAACAAAAATGATAAAAAAAAAGGGACTAAGGCCATACTCACATGGGTGCTGAGGTTTGTAGTTCTCGAGTGGGGAGTGGATCACATGCTTTTGCAGCTTGAGCTGTTGGATGTTGCGTGAAGGAAGCCCATGTAACTATGAGAATGAAGCAGCTGCACATACAGCTGCTTGGCCTAACTGGACATGTGTGTGATTGCCAGTGAGCAGCCCTGTATGCAGACAGTGACAGTTTGAAACTGCTCACATATACCCGTCAAATTGGGATGAAGTGGTTGTGTCCATGCAGCGGCTTCATCCCCATACACTTACATGGGCTGTCTGAACACAGCACCTGGTTGATCAAGCCACAAAACACACGACCCATTCATGGGCTATGGACCTCAGCACCCACATGAATGAGGCCTAAGGGATATTGTGTTTTTTTTTCCCCCTCCATGTGCAGCAAATAAGGGTGGTCAAAGAATTGCTTTGGGAATTTATGAAATAAAGAAAATAGGGTCTTCCTCAAACAAAAAAAAGAGTCTAAAATCAAGGGGTGTTTTAATTATAACACTAGAAAATAGTTTATTGGAATGCCAGTCAGCTCCAACATACGAGAAGTAACCGTAAGAAAGAGAAAATTAGAGCAGGAGAATGTATTAGAAATAAGAAGGTGAAAACCCAAACCTGTCAGAACAGGTCAAAATAGTTAAATCAGGGATGAGCAAAGACAACTGTATAGGAAATAGAATATGAAGAATTGATTAATTTAATTTTAAACTAACTCTGGGCTCTACAGACTCAGGGGTGGAACCATCAAGATGGTTTACAAGGCCAATCATGATTTACTCCTCAAGTGTAAAAAAATATGAATTTTTGCACACAAGGGTAAATCTAAAATTTGTATTCCTATTATATGAAGTGCACTTTTATACAAATGTTAAACAAAACCAACACAAACATTTTAGTATTTAAAGTGTTTTAACTTTTGTAATTCTACAAAGTAAGTAGATTTACCTGCCAACTAGACAGATGAACAAGTTTAAAGCAGACACCCTCTCATCCTCCTTGTGTTCCTACAAAGAACAGAACACATAAAAGTCTTAGAATAATCACAAAACAAAGTAGTGTAGATTATTGTACTGTTCCTCTGTACTCAGGACTATGGAGATTTAATTTCCGTATATCCAACATGTTTAATGCCGATGTTGTTATGTATTATGTCGTTTTGATGGGACTGTTCATTCCAATATGACTAGAAAACTATCAAATAAATGAAAAACAAAAACAAAGTAGGATTCAAAAATTCAAGCAATGGTTTCTATCAGTTTTGATGGGGATAAATTTACGCACTTTGGGTGCATAATAGATTGAATCCTCCAATAAAGTTCAATATCGCAGTAGCTCTAGAGAAGGAACTCTGGACCCAAAACTGTAATTCTGGCACTGTGCTAAGCTTTAAATAGACTGCATACCACTCCTGCTCTGACTTGAGAGCACCTGCGTGCCAGTTGTCGGATGAGGGAGTGAGCCTCTGGCATAAGTGGTTTCTCCAAGCAGGCAAGCAAGGCATACAGCCAACGACCCTGAGAAGAAAAAAGGTAAAAGTCAACACAAAGCAAAATTATAAATACTTGTACACACCTATAAGAAAATATACTCACCAGCTCTGGAGTAAAGTCTCGCTCTTCAAACCAGTTCACAAGGTACTCCAACACACTTGTAACAGTTGCCTTCAAAAAAGACAAAACACCAGAGTTTGGGAATAAAAGTAACATTTCTGTGTTTGCAGGTGACAACACTACATAGTTTCTACAAAATATAGGTCTGACCTGGATGCTATGTTTGATCATTCACACCACATGGCAAATTAGGTTTATTATTGGTTTAACCTCCACATATCAATGGGGTTGGATGTATTTCTAAAAGCACAAAACATCAGAAAAACACTGGTAATCCTTGAGTATGCAATGGCCTTAGGGAAGTGCAAAGTGAATTTTTAATTAAGGGGAGAGGGGATTTAGAATAAGATTTTTTTTTTTTTTAAACTTTCCACTGGATCAGATGTGGTTTTTATTTTAACCTTTTTTTGGACATTTTTGGACTAACTTTTCAACCTGGAGAAGACACATTTGGTGCACTCCAACAAGCAGTATACACATTTGGCAAAGTAGGCATGCCAGAATCTAAAGCAAACTGCTATTTGTACAAAATTGTCAAGTTTTAGAAGATCCCAGGGTGGTCAACAAGAGATAAAACCTGCCAGGCAGGGGATGCCTATAATACCAATTGAAAGGTCATTTTAGAGCACAGCTGTCCAACTGGTAGCCCATGGGACCTTTTGTATCCTGCAAAGACAACGTAGGACCAAACTGTCAAACTCATAGCCTCTTGCACTGCATTAGGATAAAGAGAGAAGACTGAGGGATGCTCACAAGTGCCAATGAGTACACAAGTAGAGCCACTCCCCTGGACTAACCCGTCAATGTGGATGTGGCCCTCCGCTTGACTTGTGAATACAGACATGACCCTTATCCCTAAATAACAGTGCTTCCCAAGGCAGGTCCACACTGCTCTACTTTCCATTCAAGTCTAATGCGAACTGGTGCAAGCAGCCCAGCAGCAGATTCTTACTGATCAGGCTGTAGACAACACAGAAGCCTGCAGCTGTCAAGAGGACACCAGTACAGACCTGGCTGAACATGTACTTTGTATTTACTGAACTAAAGAACTACAGTAGTTCTAGAGATATTGCCTCACATACCATCCTCAACAGCAAAAGGTCTATTTATTTAAGAAAAAAAATAACCCCCCCCCCCCCCAAAAAAAAAAAAAAAAACCACCTTGCATAACTATTCATCCAGAGAAACTGTACTTTCATTCTGTACAAATTAATCATGACTGGCTCATCATGTTTTAAAGAAGGTATTATTCACACAATGTACAAAGCTGTAACTGTTGTGTAAAAGGGGCAAAATCAAATGTTCTTAAAGGTCTTCTTTCTTCTAAGGCTATCATTTTAGGTTCTTTTTCTTGGCAACTTGATATAATAAAACACATCTATCTATATAAATAAAAAACACACCACACATTCATTAGGGTGTCATTTGTAACTTTTGCGTGAATGAGCATACATCGCACAGCCAATTTCTTTATAAAAATGGACCCCTCTGTCATTGTGAGTCACACCTAATAAGCAGTTTTTTGTCATGTGTGCATTTAGCTTATTGAATAACTGCACAGATTAGTAATTGACTCATCTCACCTGGCTCATACGACTGACAATACTCAGCAGAGGTGGAAATCCAACCTACAATAGTAAATGCATATGTGTTTTGTAAACTCAGCTATCAAAATGCTACACAAGACTTAAGATTCAGGTTAACAGAGTACAATTCATGTTGTTAACTTTCCATAAGCCAAAAACACACTGGGAGTTGATTTACTAAAAGCAAATATACAGTCCTGGCCAAATGTTTTGAGAATGACACAAATATTAATTTTCAAAGTCTGCTGCCTCAGTTTTTATGGAAATTTGCATATACTCCAGAATGTTATGAAGAGTGATTAGATGAAATTGCAAATTGATTGCAAAGTCCCTCTTTGCCATGAAAATGAACTTAATCCCAAAAAAACATTTCCACTGCATTTCAGCCCTGCCACAAAAGCACCAGCTGACAGATCAGCGATTCTCATTAACACAGGTGTCAGTGTTGACAAGGACAAAGCTTTAGATCACTCCGTCATGCTGACTGAGTTAGAATAACAGACTGGAAAATTTAAAAAGGAGAGTGGTGCTTGAAATCATTGTTCTTCCTCTGTTAACCATGGTTACCTGCAAGGAAACACGTGCAGTCATCATTGCTTTGCAGAAAAAGGGATTCCAGGCAAGGATATTGCAGCTACTAAGATTGCACCTAAATCAACCATTTATCGGATCATCAAGAACTTCAAGGAGAGAAGTTCAATTGTTGTGAAGAAGGATTCAGGGCACCCATGAAAATGCAGCAAGCGCCAGGACCGTCTTCTAAAGTCGATTCAGCTATGGGATCGGGGAACCACCAGCGCAGAGCTTGCAGATGGAGAAGACTTTTGGAGGATGGCCTTGTGTCAAGAAGAGACGCAAAGTAGCCACTTCTCTCCAGGAAAAATATCAGAGACAGACGGATATTCTGCAAAAAAGGTACAGGGATTGACTGCTGAGGACTGGGGTAAAGTCGTTTTCTCTGATGAATACCCTTTCCGATTGTTTGGAACAGCCGGGGAAAAAAAAACAAACAAAAAAAAAAACACAACCTTTGTCCAGAAGAAAAGGTGAGCACAACCATCAGTTCTGTAAAGCATCCTGAGAACATTCATGTGTGGGGTTGCATCTCAGCCAAGCCATGAATAAACATCCATGAATAAAGAATGGTACAAAAACATACTCAGAGAGAAACTTCTCCCAACTGTCCAAGAACAGTTTGGTGACAAAATGCCTTTTCCAGCATGATGGAGAAGGGGGGGTGGACATTTAAGCCATTTCAGAAATCAAAACTAAGTCAATTAGTATATTTCAGAAAGATTATACATACCAACCATAATTGAGGTTTACCTTTATATAATCGATACCTGGGTTCTGGTTCTCATTGTTCAGAGCAGCAGCCAGGTCAGAATACAACCGCTCACCCAGACAAAACTTCTTCCAGCTTTCTTCATCCTCTGTGCTTGGCTGAAAACAAAAATCAAATCTATTTCTGCTGTCCTTATGACAACACAGGAGCACAAATGGAAGACAGGGAGAGAGTATTGTTCTCCCATGACAGGAAGAGTCAGAACAAGGACCATCATGGTCACCAGGTACATTAATGAATGTTACCGATTTAAAAATAATGAAAAAAGGACTTTTGAAGTTACAGGACTATGCAATAGATTAAGTTAAACAGAAAATTCTAGCGTTTAGATACAATATGCAACCAATTTTGAAAATCTAAAGTCAATAAGCAAGATAATATAAGTAATAAACAGTGAAGCTGGTATCCCCATATTCAGTTGTGCGGGGGGCGTAAGAAGAAACTGAAAGGAAATTAGAAATGGAAAGAGGTGAATTTAGTGGTCACCAATCTTTCTGTTTCCAGGCTGGGAAACATTCAAGGCAGGTATAAGAAGCAGGAAGTGGGAGAATTTGATGGTCCTCTAGTTTGGATGTGAAGCTATATAGTAGGAAAATGGAAGCGAAGAGGGATGCACCAATATCGGTGCCGATACCGAGTATTTTCACAAGTACGCGTACTTGTGAAAATGCTCCCAATACCAATAATTTGCAGAACGATTTGCGTCAGTACAAATAGCACTGCAAAGATTAGCAAGTGAACTGAACAGAAATGCAATTCCTGTCCAAATTTTTTTGTATTGTCCCCTTTCAAATAAATAATTGCTAGGGATTCTACCAGAATTCACCACCATTTTCTTTCCTAAGATGACAATGCTTACTTAATTCAGCATTGACTTTATGCTCTTGCCTTTATGTTACCAAAACAGACAAGGGGCGTTCAAGTCAAACTGGGACATTTCATTTTAAAGGTATAAAAAGGGATGCTAGAGTAGCGGTACGACACGCAGTAGTAAGCGGCAAGCGTGTCCAATTACTGATCGGTGGAGCACATGTCACAGGCCAGTCCAGAGACTGTTAATTAAGATGGCAGACAACCGTGTTAGTGCGTGCATGGAACAGTATGTGGAGATGAGGTTTCTTGTGAAGAAAGGCATAAAACCTTGGATATCTAAAGAAGGCCTCAAAACGCAGTATGGTGATGAGACACTCAGCTGCAGTAAGACATTTCAATGATCTAGACATTTCAATGATGTAAACATTTCAAAGACAGCTGTACATCTGCCAGTGACTAATCCCGGCCAGGGTGGTTCCCAGCCCACAGCAGTCATCCCTCTGAACACTCGAGGAATGCCTGATCCTGGATAATCGACGCATAACCTGTCGTGAAATTGCACAAGAGATTAATCTTTCCGTGGGAATGGTGAACACAATGATGACGAAGTGTGGCAGGCTCTCCTAGGATGGTCCAGTCATGCTGAAGCTTTCCAGGCATTACATAAACTCAAAAGTCCCGGTTTGAACACACTTTGTATAAACAGCCATGCCATTGCACAGTGCTGGCCATTCTGATGCAGAATCTCCGCAATTAACAAAAAAAAACAAAAAAAAAAACCTAACAATTGGAGCATGCAGAAGTGTACAGGAAAGAAGAATTCCCAGGATGTGCCAAGGAGAAGTTACATATAAATGGTAGGGAAACTTTTTGAAAAGTTTTCAGACTCCTTGAAATTTTCCACATTTTGTCATGTTACAACCAAAAATGTAATTGTATTTTATTGGAATTTTATGTGATAGATAAAAGTTTCATATAATTGTGAAGTGGAAAGAAAAAGGATAAATGGTTTTCAATTTTTTTTTTCAAATATCTTAAAAGTGTGGCTTGCATTTGTATTCAGCCCCCTTTCCTCTGATAGCTCTAACTGAAATCTAGTGGAACTAATGGAAGAGTGGCAAGAAGAAAGCCATTGTTAAAAAGAGTCATCAGAAGTCCTGTTTGCAGTTTGCGAGAAGCCATGTGGGGGACACAGCACACATGTGGAAGAAGGTGCTCTGGTCAGAGGAGACCAAAATTAAATTTTTTTTTGCCTAAAAGCAAAATGCTATGTGTGGTGGAAGACTAACACTGCACATCACCCTGAAAACACCATCCCCACCGTGGAACATGGTGGTGGCAGCATCATGTTGTGGGGATGCTTTTTTTCAGCAGGGACAGGGAAGCTTGTCAGAGTTGATGGGAAGATGGATGGAGCCAAATACAGGGCAATCTTAGAAGAAAACCTGTTAGAGTCTGCAAAAGACTTTAGACTGGAGCGGAGGTTCACCTCCCAGCAGAAGGACGACCCTAAACATGCAACCAGAGCTACAATGGGATAGTTTAGATCAAAGCATAGTCATGTGTTAGAATGGCCCAGTCCAGACCTAAAACCAATTGAGAATCTGTAGCAAGACTTGAAAATTGCTGTTCACAGGAGCTCTCCATCCAATCTGACAGCCTGAGTTATTTTGCAAAGAAGAATGGGCAAAAAGTTCACTCTAGATGTGCAAAGCTGATAGAGACATCCCCAAAAAGACTTGCAGCTGTAATTGCAGCAAAATGTGGTTCTACAAAGTGTTGACTCTGGGGGGCTGCATACAAATGCACGCCACACTTTTCAGATATTTGTAAAAAATTTTGAAAACCATCTCTCATTTTCTACTTCACAATTATGTGCCACTTTGTGTTGGTCCATGACATCAAAACCCAATAAAATACATTTACGTTTTTGGTTGTAACATGACAAAATGTGGAAAAGTTCAAGGGGTATAAATACTTTTTCAAGGCACTGTATACGGCGGTTCACAAAACGAACTACTCGTGTGAGAATTTAGTTCTACTTTTAGATTCCCTCAACACGTGAGTAAATGTTAATCCATGAGTGTGGCCCCTTATAAAAAACACTCACCATTGTAACATTGCCATCTAAAGGCTGGGACTCCAATGACTTCTGTGCTTATGAAGACTCTGTAAAGAACACAACATTAATGTGAATAATCAGTAAGTAAATACTGTAAAAAACAGACCACAGACTGCGCGCAACAAACTTATCAAAAAGGAATACATGGGCAGAATACGATAATGGTCGGAACATGATAGTGGCATAAGATTCTAAAAACATTATACCATGAGTGATAGTGCACCATGCAGCATCCTGCAAAAAAAAAAATAATTTTACAGTAAAACTTTATGCTATGTGCATTGAGGTGCACTGCATTCTGGGTGTGAATCAGGTGCTGATCAAAACTGATGCTGCTCCCAATCCGACAGCCATGCAGGTGCGATTGCACAGCCTTGAACGCAGTGTATGTACGAGGCCACACACCCACATGGCTGTCAAATTGGGAGCAGTGTGTTTGTGCAGCCGCTGTGTCTCAACTGACATGAACAGGATTCCTTGCATGGAACACCTGAGCATCCCCATGCAAGCAAACACACCCCTTGCATGGGTGTACTCTACAGTACACCAGTGTGAACAAGGCCTTCATTGGGTTTTGTTTTTTTAATGAAATTATTTAAAATTCTATTAATGTTTAATTAACCCTATTGGTGGGGGTAGGGGTGCTGGGGCCTTGGTCTAAACAGACCCCTGACGTTTCACTTGTGAGACAGAGAAAATAGAGATGCAGATCCCCCAATCCCTTTTTCTTCATTGAGTTAAATGGAAGCGCTCTGTACAGAGGCTTCCTGTTCATTCACAAACTGAAAGCATAGTAAACACTGTGTAACACTAGGCTGGTAAATATGATTTATTTACGCATCCCCCTCCACGCCATCCTCCATATGCCCCACAGCAGCTACTGGGAGAGGACAAGCTAGTAGTGCAGAGTTTGTGAGGGCACAACAGGGAATCTCTGCTGCACGAGGGGGGATGTTCAGTGAGTAGAAGAGAAGTTTTTTTGAGAGGGGTGCAATAAGGCTGTGTGTGGCTTACCGTGGGGTAGTCAGCCATGCTAGCAAAAATTGACAAATGTATTTTGGATTGTTACCCCTGCAGTCATATGAGTTTTTCTAACTGCAATGTGCAATTGATAGACTCTTTCCACATTACGAGTAGGGGGGAGTTGGAGATAACCATCTTAATGCAATCATTTTTCTAGCTAGAAATATTCTGGTTAGAGCTACTAAAGTTCAGTGAGTGGGTCTAGGCCCGGTATACTAATAATACATAAAGAACTTGGGGTCTACTCCTAATGCCAGTCCAAAGACCCTGTGAACCGTTGATACTTTGAACTACTACTCTGCCAGTATTGATGCAAGTTAAACATGCTTTGGAAATTTCCCATCAGTGTACCCACTTCTCTACTTCATAAACATACTGGATTATTTCTCCATGGCTATGAAGTTTGAGGGGTATAATAAAAGCAGAAGATGATATATAGTTGCAGGAGTACTGGGGCATTCGATCGTAATACTTGTGGGATTCTAAAGGGATACTTGTGGTATTCTACCTAATGTTTATCCCAACACCAATTTGTGATGACTCTAATATCCTCTTCCCTTCTCATTTTACATTGGAAAGGAGCCGAGAACATTTTTACATTCATTAGGGTAGTATTAAATGTAGAAATAAGACCTTTTGTGAAGTGAGGTGTACCAATAAAGGTTGTTAAATGCATTTTTACATAAACCAATGGGCATAGATGTTGTTATGCCTGGTTGGAAAGTGCATTGGAGAGAAATAAAATTTCTCTTGGCCCCAAAATGCCTCGCTTATTTGCTGAAAATCTTTTAAAACGTTAACCTTACATATTTAGGTAATATATTCAATTCTTTATTTTACTCCAGATCTCCATCCTCTAACTTTTCAATTCTAAGCATATTATACCATTTTTGTGTATGGTCCATTTTATTACTAATCTTTGTAGCATTCCCCGACATCCTCCAGAAAAAGTAGAGCAAGGTAACATGGGGGCACTTACAAGACCACAGATGTATCAGTTACCTGTCGGACTGCGGAGAACTGAGCTACTTGTTGCTGCTGCCAACGAAGACTTGGTGAATAACCTTCAGGGGCAGGTTGGCAACCCGAGAGCTAAAAACAAAGATTACATTAACCATTCAAACTTAAAACATGCCTAAATGTTTGGAAAAGAACAAAAAACATCCACAGACAGGCTCTTCTGAACTGCTAAAGCAGAGCAATGCTGCATGTTAAAGCCTTTAGAAAGCATTTATTTAATCCCGACAGTCTCTGACAGTTATGAATGTCATATCATCACAAACCTGAGAGTTAAAAGGCCAAAATATAATATAATATATATATATATATATATATATATATATATACACACACACACACACACACACACACACACACACACACATACACACACACACACACGCACACATACATATCTGTAGGAAAAAAAAAATGTAATAAGCTCCTGCACACTCTTCTTCCAGCTCACTGTCCATATGGAGGTAGGGGCTTTCAGCTGGAGGAAGTGTCAACTGAATACAAATGTGTTATTCACCACACTTGTGTTCCATTGACAACTACAAGTCTGTCAGGTGAAGGGGCAGACAGGACTTTTAGTTCATTCACAGATCTCTTTGAACAAGCAATGGGGCTGTGAAGCCACATAACCACGCAAATTTTAAATGTGACAGCAGCTGTGGTGAAGAACCCCTGAGCGCTGTCACAGGATGAAGGCATTTGGACCACGTTACATCCTAAATACAGGTGTAATCTGGACTAAAAGGTGACATTCATCTTTAACCACTTGTTGATCGTGCTATAGCCAAACAGCTAAAGCACAGTCGTCCAGTTCTGGGAGGGTGTCATGACGTTCTCCCAGGACTGTGCACCCGGCACCCTCTGATCAGCTGTGTCCTTTGGACACAGCTGATCACATGTCACAGTAAAGGGCCAATCACAGTGGCCTTTTAACACATGATCAGCTGTGTCCAATCACAGCTGATCATGATGTAAACACACACTTGCTGGTTATCGGCAGCACTTTCCTCACGCTGTCAGTGCCCACCAGTGCCGCCTCATCAGTGCTGCCTATCAGTGCCACCTTATCAACGCACAGTGAAGAAAAATAATTACCTGTTTGCAAAATTGTATAAGAGAAACAAAGAAAAAAAAAAAAAAAAAACTTTCCTTGTTTTTTTCTTTCAAAATTCTCAGTCTTTTTTTGTTTGTTTAGCAAAAAATAAAAACACCCAGCTGTAATTAAATACCACAAAATCTGCATGAAAAAAAAAAAGCTGAAAGCTGAAAATTGGCCTGGGCAGGAAGGGAGTAAAAGTGCCAGTAGGCAGGTGGTTAAAGGGTAAGTTTTGCCCCAAAAAGGTAAATATTAAATGCACATATTTTTTGCAGAATTATTGTTTTATTCCCTAAGGAGCCTGGACAGCATTGCCCCCATGATCAGTGGATGAGGAGTGCAATACAAGACTCCTGCACACCAGCCCTGCAGCTTCCAGCCTGTACCTTTTTACGGGCTGACGGTTTACAAGCTTCAGGGATTGTGAATAAACTGAGGCCACTCATCAGCGACCCCGCAGTAGATTCAGAACTGGCTGGCAGGAATTGTAGTTCATGCACTCACAGGAAACTGTGAATGAATGACGCAACCGTGTGGGCGGAGCCCTGCACGACCACGTTGGTTTCAAATGGTGACAGCGGTTGCAGGGAGAAGATCTCCAGCTAGCTGTTAATAGAGGAGGGGGGGGGGGGGGGGGGGGGGGTAGAGGCTGCAGCTGCTGGAATATGTCACATATTCCAACCTAAATATAACATGTTCCAAAAGGTGAACTTCTCCTTTAAGGCTGTATTGTTAGTCATGTGAAGATCGGCTTATTTTTAATACCAAACGGTAACTTGTTCTCTTTAGATGCTGGATCTGCTTGGTAACTGTGAAAAAGGAACACTAGTTCAATATTCAGCACATCAGGTACATTGCTAAAGCACTGCACAATACATATTACCTATCCAGAAAAAAAAAATGCCTTTAACCGAGAAATAATGCAATAAAAATAAGCTGCTCACTGCTATGCTGACAGTTTGCTTCTTTCTTAGTTTTTTTTGGATCGATCTGTGCAATCACAACGTCTGGACATCGTGCAGCTTCAATCCTGAGTGGGGAATATAAAGAAGAAAAACTCTGTTTTGAACTCTTTCCTGAAGACAGTTTCAACATAAGATTTTACATTTATCCAGCAAAACAAAAAAGGAACAATCAAGCGCAATGATTTCTAGGCATGTTCCCATGCCTGGTTTTGACCTAATTCACCCCGCCGCTATTGGCAGCAGTTATAAAACTTTACTCTGCCAGGTAAACAGCTGCCATATGCAGGTTCGGATTTGAAAGTAAAATCTCCACTTGAGGGAGACAAAGGTACTGTGATGAGGGCCTGAAGCCAGTGTAGTGGGACTTCAATAAGGATGAGGTTGGAGCTTGGACTGATGTGGGATTTGGTCACATTCTCTAGCTGCAGTGGCAAGTCAAACATATTACTACTGTTGCTGAATGTGACAACTTCCCACTCCGGGCTCCTGGTTGCTAGGAAGCATGCTGCTGCCATCCTAGCAACCAGTGACATGCCCAGGCCCATTCATCTGCTAGATGGCAACTGAATGTAAACAAAGGGGCTTCCATAGTCCAGTCAATTCCACCCTCTAGAGACCCCACATCCACTCAGCCAGGGATGTGCAGACAAGATGCTTTGTCAGGTGGCCCCCTGCCAATCGACCTACCTATGGAGAAGGTACAAGTGGCCTTGTATTGTTTAATGCAACACACCACTCTGCCCTACTCTACTGGGGGGGATATAGCAACGCACAACTCTGCCCTGCCCTTACACGGGGGGGTTTGTTGCAGTGCACGGCTCTGCCCTGCACTTTTGGGGAGGGGGGGTTGTGCGGGAGGAGTGTAACGCAGAAATCTGCCCTGCTGGGGTGTGCAAAGCATGACTCTCCCCTGCACTGCTGGGGGGTGTGGCTGGAATGCAACGCACGACTCTGCCCTATGCTGCTGGGGAGGGGGGGCTGGAATGCAACACATGACTCTGCCCTGTGCTGCTGGGGGGGGCTGTGCAGGAGGAGTGTAACGCATGACTCTGCCCTGCTGGGGTGTGCTACGCACGACTCTCCCCTGCAACACACAACTCTGCCTTGTGCTGCTGGGGGAAGGGGGGGGCGTAAATGCAACGCATGACTCTTGCCCTGTGCTGCTGGGGGGGAAGCTGGAGCGCAACGCACAACTCTGTCCTGCTGGGGGGCACGACTCTGCCCTGCTGGCGGGGGGGGGCGGAGGCAGTGCAACACACGACTCCGCCCTGCGCTGCTGGTGGGGGGAGCTGGAGCGCAACGTGGGGGGGGGGTTAGCTACCCTGCTTAGGGGGTGTGCCCCACATGACTCTGCCCTGCACTGCTAGGGTTGGGTAGTACAACGCATGACTGTGCCCTGTAGGGGGTGCACTGTAGGAAATAGAGGCGGCACAGTGGGGGTGAATGGGCTTTGCACACAATATATGGAATGAGAAGCAGAGCACGCGGGTACACATGACTGCAGTCACACATGTGCCGCCACCCTGCAGCCTCCAGGCGGGGGGAGACCGATTATCCATACAGACAGGCAGCGGCAGTCCCGGGGTATGCCTACTTACTGCACCCGCCTCAAATACTCCTGCGGCGTCCGCGGTGGTACTGCCGGGTCAAAGTCCTCGGAGAGGTCGCAGTCCCCTACAGGCAGGAGCCGCGGCATCAGCTCCTCCGGTCCCGAATCCATTCTTGGCCGGCACCGACGTCACCTGCGCTGGACCGCACTGCACTTTATTAGTGGAACGCATCTAGTAAGTGCGCTCCTGGTTGGCTACTCTATAGAAGTCCCTTACTGGCTAAGTAAAGTCACATGTCCTTGAATGGCATAGCCATAGACTTTAGAAGTGATGTTTGTTGAGTGTTTTAGTATTCTTGTGTGTTTTTGCTGCAAAATCATCTGGAATAAACTCTGATAGGTGGAAGTAAAATAGGGATTACCATGTTGTGTGCATTGCTTGTTTGATTTTTCACATGAAGAATGGAGCTGAACAATTAACCATTTCAATACCGGGCATTTTACCCCCTTCCTGCCCAGGCCAGTTTTCAGGTTTCAGCGCTCTTACACTTTGAATGACAATTGCGCGGTCATACAACATTGTACCCAAACTAAAATTTTATCATTTTCTTCACACAACTAGAGCTTTCTTTTGGTGGTATTTAATCATCGCCGGGGTTTTTATTTTTTGCTAAATTTACAAAAAAAAAGACCGAAAATTTTGAAAAAAAAACACGTTTTTCTTTGTTTCTGTTATAAAAGTTTGCAAATAAATAATTGTTCTTCATATATTTAGGCCGAGATGTATTCTGCTACATGTCTTTGGTGAAAATAAACCAAATTAGGATGTATTTTTTAGTTTGTAGGAAAGTTATAGAGCTCACAAACTATGGTATAGATCTGAATATTGATCAATCCTGAAGTACTGACAGCCAATCTAATTTCTTGAGGTCCAAGAATGTCAAAACAGTACAGATATCCCCCAAATTACCCCTTTTTGCAGAGTAGACAGTCCGACGTACTTCATAAGAGGCATGGCGAGTTTTTTGAAGTTGAATTTTTTTTTTTTTCGGAAAATGAAAAAAGAAAAAAAATTATTTTCACAATTTTTTTTTACATACTGTCACCAGTGCAGTACAGCGTCATCATATGTGAATGAAAACAAACAAGGGCGCACTCTCATCATGCATTACCATGGTAAACTACGTAATTTATTGAATAAAAAGGATGTATACTCACAAACCAACGTGATTATAGGCAGTATGGGTGATCCACAAAGACAGTCACAATACAACTGTGTCTAATGATGCGGATAAGCTGACGCGTTTCTGGGGCTGAACCCCCTTCCTCAGAGGTAAGGGTTCAGCCCCCGAAACGCGTCAGCTTATCCGCATCATTAGACACAATTGTATTGTGACTGTCTTTGTGGATCACCCATACTGCCTATAATCACGTTGGTTTGTGAGTATACATCCTTTTTATTCAATAAATTACGTGGTTTACCACGGTAATGCACAATGAGAGTGCGCCCTTGTTTGTTTTCATTCACCAGTGGTCAGATTTCCCGATCTCAGAAGGGCAGCACGTCTTCGATTGGCATTTTGGCAATTCCTTGGTTTGCATGGAGATTGGAGCGCTGGTTTCGTTTGTCTATCTCTCACAGCATCATCATATAACTGGCATGGCGGTGATCAGGGACACTGACTGGTGACAGTGTGAAAAAAAAAATAAATTTTTTTTGTATTTTTTTCATTTAAAATTTTTTATTACATTTTTTTTCATATTGCACTATGACCAAAGTAGTACAATGTTACCATAGTAACATTGTACTACTTTGGGGAAGTGATCAATTTTTTTTTTTTTTACACAATTTGCTTATAGCAAAGAATTACTTTGCTATAAGTAAGCATTTACCTGAATGACATCGATTCATTCAGTTTTTTTTTTTTGTGCTTAGCTGTGATTTGGCCACAGCTAATCACATGACATGTGCATGTGATTAGCTGTGACCATTCACAGCTAGACACACTAGTATACAATGGATGGCATGAAATGAAGCCATCCATTGTATACAACTGTCATGTGACCTGCTGTGATTGGTCACAGCAGGTCACATGGTACCGGCAACGGGGCCGATGCTCAGATCTGTCATCGGCTGTGTCCGAGGTACACATGGCCGGGCGACAGATCGCGCCGCAGCGCGGCCGAGCTACTGACAGCAAGCGCGGCTCTGCAATGGCGCGCGAACTGTGCATGTGCGGGAGGACGCCATATGGCGGCCTCCCGGAAAGCTAGTACATTTTTCAGGACACCATACGGCTATTGGCCGGGCGTTAAATGGTTAAAGGATAAGTTCATCTTTGGGAACACGTTACATATTCCACTCATTTTTTAGGGTGGAACATGTGACAAGTTAGCCGCAGACCCCCCCTCCTTCTGACAGATAATACGAGGAGACGTCTCTCCATACTATCTGTCAAATTTGAAAACAGACTGGACTTCTGTGAATGAATGAACTGCAAGTTCCGACAGCCTTAGCCTTAGTTTTCAATATCTGCATCCCGTACGGCAAGCAGACATTCTGACAGGTCTGCAGGAGACCTTCATGGCATCAGTGATCTACTGATTGCTGGTGCTATGCTTTCCAGGCTCCTTTGGACAAAAATAATAAATACACGTTTTTTTACCTGCAAAAAATGTGCATTTATTATTTTTGTCTAAAAGGTAAACTTATCCTGTAAGGTAGGTTCAGTCAGTCAGTCCTTTTTGGTTTGCAGGAAAACACGTAATGGAAATATTTAATTTTTACAAAATGATCCTTTGTCCTGAGGTTTATTTGTGTCTGAGGCTGTCAGTTTTAGCGCAGTAATTAGGAATATTGTGTGGGCACAAGGACTGTTATATGTGGGCAGTGTATATAGTGACTAGGCACAGATTCTATTTAATCATCTTCCTTTAAGCTCCTCCCACTGTTAGCCAAAATCTGGCCATACATGCTGATTGCCGCGGCTTATTTTTCTTTTTTCATCCCAGAGTGCCCCAGGTCTTCCATCATCCTAGTCATGCTCAAATTTTGTCACTCTGTTTGGAATTTTTCATTGTACAGCCAGCAGATTACTTGTTCTGAGTACTGTTAGCCCGGGTTCACATACATGCGGTGCGGTATATCGCATGTGATTCGCACAGGAACTGCACCGCATTCCTGTGCAAATCACATGCGATTTGTGTGCGGTGCGACAGGAGCCATACATTTTGTATGGCTCTAATCGCACCGCACCCTTACCAAAAAGGTGCAGGACCCTTTTTTGGGTCCGCACTAGAATCGGATCGCATGGGTATTCACACCTATGCAATCCGATTCTGCACATCGCACCACGTTTTGCAGACCAATTTTGGGGTGTTGTTAACTTAACATACACAGTTCGCAGTGAACGGGGTGCGATTCTGATGCAGTGCGGAATTTGCACAAAAAATGCTGCGAATTCCGCACCGCATCAGTGTGAACCCAGCCTTAAAGTGGAGCTCCGCCCAAAAGGATAAGTTCCGCTTTAAGCCTTTGTCCCCCGCTCCCCATTAAGGATTGGCACCTTTGGGGAGCAGGGGGGGGAGGAGAGTGGTTACCTGAATTTGACAGGTATCTGCTACGATCACCTAGGTGATCGGAAGCGGAAGTTGTCCCCCCCCCTCCCTCCCCGTAGTCTTCAGGGACACGTGACAGGTCCCAGAAGACTACGTGGCCATTTACAAAGCGCAGCGCTACTCGCGCATGTGCAGTGGGCACCTAGCTGTGAAGCCGCAAGCTGTCACAGCCGGGTGCCCACACTGAAGATGGTGGCACCAGGGAGAGAAGACGGCTGGTGAAACTAGCGTTGGTGAGGACACCACTGGACCGGATGACAGGTAAGTGACTGTATTTTAAAAGTCAGCAGCTACAGTTTTTGTAGCTGCTGATGTTTATTTTACTTTTTTCAGGTGGAACTCCGCTTTAATGTTTACACATCATTTCCACTCCTTAAATATTGATTGTCTGAGCTTATAATAGGAGTTTCTGTCATATTTCAAGATGTCAGTAAATTCCCATGCACTGTCAGCAAAAAAAGTCACATGACAACTCTGTCTGTGTCCCATTAGCTTCATAGGAGGACAGGTGAGCCATCAGGGGTCTTTTAAACCCCTGGTGTTTCATTACAGAAAAACCTGTCATCAAAATGCATTACAATTGAAGACTTTTTGCTGCCATGTGCTGATAAAAAAGTTTACAAAAAAAAAAGCAAAGAAATGAAACCCAAGCATTTAAACCCCACGAAAAATCTCTGAGCCCTCCCACCCCACCCACATATATATGCACAATCGTAAATCCATGTATCAGGAGGGTTCCCACACACAAAAAAACGTTGATTGCACTGCCCATGTTACATATTGCTGCACATGCTGGAGTGACAGCTATAATTTTAGGGCCAATATTCACAGTCACCTCTAAACTGAGAGGGTGCCCCTAAACTGCAGAGGCTTTTAAAGGATTGCCTATGGAAAGTGTAGTGGTTGAGGTTTATCGCTGCTCCACAGGTGCACTAAATGTTAAAGCATGATATGTTGGGTATCTATTTATGTGGCACAGCCTCACCTTTTATAATTCACCAAAATTCATTTACAGGCGTACCTCAGTTAACCAATTCACTACCGGGCAATTTTACACCTTCCTGCCCAGGCCATTTTTCAGGTTTCACCGCTCTCACACTTTGAATGACAATTGCGCGGTCATACAAAAAAAACCCAAAAATTTTGAAAAAAAAAAAAAAAAAAAAAAAAAAACACGTTTTTCTTTGTTTCTGTTATAAAGTTTACAAATAAATAATTGTTCTTCATAAATTTAGGCCGAGATGTATTCTGCTACATGTCTTTGGTGAAAATAACCCAAATTAGGATGTATTTTTTAGTTTGTAGGAAAGTTATAGAGTTCACAAACTATGGTATAGATCTGAATATTGATCAATCCTGAAGTACTGACAGCCAATCTAATTTCTTGAGGTCCAAGAATGTCAGAATAGTACAGATATCCCCCAAATGACTCCTTTTTGTAAAGTAGACAGTCCGACGTACTTCATAAGAGGAATGGCGAATTTTTTGAAGTTCTATTTTTTTTGTCATAATTTTTCGGAAAATTAAAAAAAAATTATTTTCACTATTTTTTT